TCATTATGTTATGTTTGGCTGAATTTAGGTTTAACCAACAGTGTTCATGAAAGTGCATTGTCGATGGAAGCGAATAAGCAATCAGAGATAGGGGAAGACAGTAACGGTTCTGAATTACCGGTCGAAGAGGATGTATCAGAGAATGAAGAATATGAGCGAAGCAGTGATGATGAAACATCAGTGGTGGCGAATATTCAAAAAAATGCACGGACATTCACCGACGATGCGGGGTTTGGTTTTCTGATGGTCATCAGTCTATATAATTTACGTTTCATGCATAGGAAGATCAAAAACGAATTTTTTGAATTGGAAGCGGAGCTGTCTGGCAGCGACGACGAGGGAGAAGAGGACGAAGAACCTGTAAGTTCAAAGTTGAAAAGATTTGTGATTTCCCGGGACCTCATGTCAATCACATCAGTATGACGTGTGATTTTCCGGGACCTCATGTTACGACTGCTGTGGTAGGCAAAGGGAAAAGTCTCGCTTATTGAGTTATGTCAGGTGATCCTTTGTTTATTGCCACTTTTTGCAGTTATGGCGATTGGGCGAGTTTAGAGTGAGTATTAAAATTCTATGATGTATCATATTCGTAGTGCTTACTTATAAAGTTGATAACCTTTTTTTTGATTATTTTAGCTTAAAAGGACTTATTTCTAGGAGATATCTACAGCTATATAGCTACTGTAACATGTATGTAGAGTCCTAATCCATTTTCACGCTGTGATAATCATTTATTTGTATAAAATGAGTGAAACGCGGATCATTTAGTCAGATTTATACCAGCCACCGTATGACCACGTCTTAGTTCTGTATTAACTTAATTACCGTGGCTCTATGTTATTAAATGCTACATGGAGCAATGAAAAGAGACGAAGAACGACGGAAGAAGAAATTACACAGCGTCTTACTGTTGCATCAAGCAGATCATTACAAAGAGTATTGGCAGAATAAAAATAAAACATGGATGGATTAGAAGGTAACGGAAAGTTGGTAATCTTTCTAATGTCGGTCTCCATTACTCGTCCAGATTGGCACTATTTGTGGCATTTTTCTTTACATGGAGCTTACGGTGCCTGGTCGTTCTCCATCTCTATCAGGCAGCATTCAGTTGTTTTAAAGTCATTATCTGCATCTATATGACGAATACAACGTCTTTTAGCCTCACCTCTTATTACCTTTTCCTCAAAGTGGTACTAATTTATATCTTAGAATGATGTAAATCGAGTTTCCTGATCTGGGTTCGAACCCACGATTCGTTAACTGTTAGTTCGATACTGTACCAGTTGAGTTGTCCTGCTTCAATGTGAATTGAAAAATATAATTTTGAAAGTATTTGAATTAAAAAACAATCATTTGAAACAAATAGTTGAGAGATGGCTTTGTTTCTGTTGTTTTTAAGTTGATTTTTTATTGCCATACTACTCTGCGATTCACGTGTTTCTGATTAACTATCACTGTTTTAAAATTAGGATTCTGAAGATGATCAGCTTGAAGAGGAGGAAGGTGACGACGATAATCTGCCATCGGATGATGAACTGCGGCATCAAGTCGGCATGATACACTTGTAAGTATCGAGCTGCATCTAATTCTGAAAGAAGGGGACAATACCTCACATCTGTATTTTAGTAAGCAAATGTTAGACGAAGATAAGCGAGTACTTCGTCGCTACAAAGAAGCGTACCTCATGGATGGAGAATTGTTCGACGAGTCAGCTCCTCGCAGATTTCGATGGAAGAAAACCGGTGATGATCTTTTTATGTATTGACAAAAATAGTTAACACGCAATAATGTCTTGTTTTACTCGATATGATAACAATACCCTTTCCATTTCAGAAAATTAAGTCCGTTGAAACGAGCGCTGTGATAAAGATTGGGCTTTTCAATGCAGTGTTTTTAAAATCTGTTTCTTTCTCTGAATGGTTCAGAAATAATACACCATTTCGTAGTTCTTTTTGATGGCTTAGGCAGTAGTCCGTACAAAGCAGCAGCACAGTCTGTTAGCATGATTTATGACCTAAGGCATGTTCTAATATAGGCACGAGTCAAATATTTTGTTTAAAAGAAAAGTCTTGTAGCTGTAAGTCAAATTTGTTGGCGATATACATGAATATAGCAGTGTAGTATAGCACACTACTGTAATGATATAACGTAATGTTATATTAATATATTACATGCCATAAAACTATTTGTCGTGTCCATGGTTTTCATGTAAATGTAGATACAACCTGGGACCAAGGGCTTAGATTTATATTTTAGCATAGGCTTATCAGCAAAATAACATTTGCCCATATTAGGGGAGTAAATTATTCGGTCGTATATTGTAGCAATGCCAAAAAATCTTCTGATAAATCAAGACCTATCTAAGTATTTAAAACGCAAACGTTTTTATAATATGTATTTTTAATTTCGAAACTGTTATGATTTATAAAAGTGACTTTGTAGCTTTTACTCACTTCGGTTGCAAAGTGCTCTATTTCTTTCGGTTATATACTTGAACGATTTTGAGGATCTTGTTTCAATTCAGCTATAGAAGGAGTACACCTTCTCGCGATGAACTAAAGCGTCAGGAAAGGATTGGTAGAGACCACTTCTTATTCACCATAAACCTGATTCCACCTATGCTCCTCTGTCCTTCTCCTTTGCTCATAAGAACCGTGTTGTCATCCCTCCATGTCGCATTGAATTCTGAATTCCTTCGAGTCTCGCAGATGCCGAGGACATCGCAAGACGTTCTGTTAATCTCCTGGAGACAATGGTTGACGTGTTCACCGCTAGACTTTGACACTGTAGGTGCATATCGTGAGGTCAGTTCCATTTGTTTTTTTGACGGCCTGGTGCATCCTGAGATTTTTAGTAGCTCCTCGTCCTTCGGTTACCGACCGCTGCCAGAGGCGGATCCCAAGGGCGCGCAGGGTACTTGGACCCACATCCGTTTCTTCTTCTGTTCATGATTGTTGGACCTGTTAATTTAGCGCTTGCTTGTCTAGGCTGTCAGTGGTACCGCCCATGCTTAGCCGGCCAGAGATGCAGTGCTGCGTCATTTCGGCTTGCTAGAAGTAGCCAGAGCACGTGCTCCGCCGTGCTTTGATGCTCTGGTCGTTGTCACTCCTACACCACGAAGAGGTTCCTGGGTCGGGATTTTGTGAGAAGAAGTAATTTCAGATGAATATCAAAATGGCAAATGTCCAAGCAAAGAAAATATAAGACCAGAATACAGTAAAGCTGTATTAAAAGTCCCGTTTAAGTCGCCTGAAGCGTGGAAAACTCCAAGAAGGATTCTTCTCTTGAAAAAAGGGCATTCCGGACATCTGAAGAATTATCGATCAGTTTCACTGCTATCCCAAATCTACAAGGTCTTCATCCGCTTTGTTTCTAATCGTATTCAAAAGGACCTTAAACTAACCACAAGTCAGGATTACTCCAGGTTTCTAACAGGATTTTCCACCATCGAGCATCATTCAGCAGTCAAAGGAAAAGTGCAATGAATATCAAGTGCCATTCTGTTTTGCTTTTATCAGTTACAAAAAGGCGTCCGATTCAATGGAACTGACGGCTGTGATAAACGTGTTGCATGAACATGCGTAAGGGCTATTTGCGTAAACTTTATCAAGGAATTGAGCACCAGTTGCACGACTGATATCTAACTGTTCAGTGAACCATGTCACCTGTGTCCAGCAAGGAATGTGCCAAGAAAATACCATCTCAGCAGTCTTCAGCATTGGCATCGTCACTCTCTTGCGGTTAAACTAGTGCAGCGGCATAAACATTTATGGAGGACAGCTAACACACTTGTTATTTGCGGACGACTACAGCGTCTTCACAAGACACGATGGACCTCAAACAGAACGTCAAGAGTTGCAAGAAGAATCGCACGATTAGTTTGGAGGTTAACCTCTCCAAGAAGAAACGGATGTGAAACAAGCACTACCCAAAGCCTCTATCTACGTAAATGGTGAAGACCTCGAAGAAGTCACCAGCTTACATATTTTGGAAGTCAAATTGACGGAATAAACTCGCTAGACAGGAAAATTTGCCTAAGAAGGAAGAGGACATGGACCAGCTTTAGTTGTGTTAAAGCATGATTACTCGACAGTGAGCTTCCCATGTAGGTAAGAAAGAACTGTTTGATCCAACCGTCCTATCAAAACTTGGTATACCACGCTGAATACTGTTCTGATACTAAAACTGACGAGGAAAAACTAATGGACACTTAAAGAACGACTGAAGAAAAAATATAAAAATCCAGTATCACTGTTAGAACGGAGAAATTTGTCAACGAACTGAATTAACAGGCATAATTTTTCCATTCTACGACGCCAAGGGAAGATGGGCCGGTCAGCCATGTCGCTCGCCTGAGAGATAGCCGGTGGACGTTGAGAATTACAAAACAGGTTTCACTGATCACGAATGTCTATTTGTTCGTCTGAGAACATGCGGGGATGATCCAGTTATCAAATTACTTGGTCAGCGGTGGAGACAGAATCCATAAAATAAAGAATGTTGGAGGAACGTAGATTTGTGATCACTGCCATCCGTAACGAAAGCAGGTTGGATGGCGGGTAACTCATCC